CGTGAACTTTACCGAGACTGGAAGCTGTTGGGATGCTGTGAAATAATGATACACTCATGTGCCCCCCTTCTCAAGGTATTATTCCCAAGTACATTTATCTCCAGGGCTGAGGGTGGAACATCATTCTTCTAAGTCCTCGTGAGTCCAAGGAGGCCTGGCATGCTCTCCATGGAGAATTAAAGCCTCACTGACTGAGCTTTGAGTTGAGGCTCACGCAGCTCACGTGCCCAAAGGGGCAGGAGGATCTCGGGATGTTTTTTTCTGTCAGCCTTTGAACAGAGAAGAACAGAGACTTTCTAAACACACCACAGCCTGTGAGGATTTGTATGGACAAACCGGACTGAGTTCATCGCAGCCTCTGTTTGAGAGGACATTGGGTCTCAAGGGGTTTGCTGTCATATAAGCTGTGCGGAGCTATGGGTCTCCTCCTTCACAACTCTTTTTTCTAAGATTTTTTAAAATTTATTCATTTATGAAAGACAGAGAGAGAGAGAGACAGGCAGAGGGAGAAGCAGGCTCCACACCGGGAGCCGGATGTGGGACTCGATCTCGGGCCTCCAGGATCATGCCCTGGGCCAAAGGCAGGCGCTAAATCGCTGAGCCACCCCGGGGATCCCCCTTCACAACTCTTAGAACACACACACTCAAGTGGCGAGCTCAAAAAGTACAGCCCGTTGGAATCATTTAACATTTTCAAGTATGATACCCCTAAGTGGGAGCCAATGGTGAGATTTCCATGAGAAATCTTATTTCCTTTCAAAATGTATAAACTACCACAGCGCGGTGACTAAGATGATAAACAAACCTGTCATGCAGCTGGCTTTTGAGCCCAGAGGGCACAAATAGAGCATTTCAAAAGTAAACCCTCCTGAGAAAATCATTCAGACATTTTCTCCTCAGTCAACTCATGCTTATCGTGTACCAGGCCATATGATACGAAGAATAAAGAAATGAACTGAGGGGAAAAAAAAAAACAATTTCCAGGAACTTCGTTTTCCCGGGAAGGTAAATGTAACATAACACAAGGTAGAACATTCTGTACACATTCTGTAAGAGTCGCAACAATGTGTTATTGGGGCCTCGTGTGCCCCTTTTTATCCACTTTTACTTTATCTACCCAGTTGGGGCCTTTCTCTTTCCTCATCTGAAGAATGGTACCACTTCCTAAGTGGGGCACCGGCCATTCAAACCTATGGACCACACTGCCTCCAGAGCAATCTTCTGAGATACGGGTCTAATCCAATATTGTCTCCACTTGAAATCACCCCATGAGTCTCCATGGCTTATTGAATCAAGTCCCACCTCCTCTGTGTAATGGTGCGGGCCTACTTTCCCAGGCCTACCTGTCTCTACCTCTTCCCTTCCTCCTTTGTCACCAACAAGGTAGCCAGTTTCGGGGGTCATTTCAATCATCCAGATTTCCTTAACCTTCAGCACTAGTTCAAGCACCACCTCTTCCAGGAAGCTTTCCCAATCTCTTGGCCTGTGTCTGAAGCACCGGCTGGCTCTGAAGTACCAACCAGAGCTCCCAGAGCCTCCTTCCCATCCCCACTCTGATTACAGCACTCGTGACATTTCACCACAGTGCCATCTGGTTCCCTGGGTTTCATCCCTTGTGAACGCCTTGACAACACTCACAAAAAGTCAGTATTTGAAGTGGATCTTGAAGAATGGGTAGGATTTCCAGAGTGTGAAGAGGAAAAGTGAGTGGGGAGTAAGAGGAGGCAGAGGCAAGAAAATGCTGGAAAAAATGAGACGAGGCTGAAAGACAGGGTGGCTAAAGTGGAGAGTAAAACACAAAGTTCAAAATCTGTTGAGGCAAATCACAGAGGGCCTCAGACGGCAGATTTCTTTGGTGAGAGGAAGTTTCGTTTAACTGTCTCGATGAAAAAAAAAATAACTGTCTCGATGTTCATGAAAGTTCGTTTGTAATAAACGAAAAATTAAAAAGAAGATGTTTAGGATAAATCAGACCCGTTCTTCCTTGTTACTAGGTCTCGGCACACACATTCCTAGGAGAAAAAGTCTTATTTGTGTCCTAAATAATTTAAGTATATCATGCTGATGTTTATTACCACATTGCTATTTTAATGTTTGATAACGACAGTTATGAGACCTCTTCTTTCCTTCCACGGTTTGATGGGTCATTAATCAAATAGACAAGTTCTTAATAATAATCTATTTTTCCCATTAATATTTCATGGAAAATCATGCATATTTCTTACTGGGTCCAAGTATTTTTTTATGCCTCTGAAAAGTCTCCCCGCCCCACGAAGTCCAGGGGAGTCTGCGTGGCAAGAGTGCCCTCTGCTGGCTAGAGCGTGGAACAGCTAGGCCGAGAGAGGGAAGGCCCGCGGCCCAGGCGGTGGCCTTGCGCCTGCAGGACAGGGCCCAGGATGTCTGCACTTCCCCAACTTGTCCCCCTTTTGTATTGAGGGGGTGGGGGTGACTGGGTGACGGGCACTGAGGGGGGCACTTGACGGGATGAGCACTGGGTGTTATACTATATGTTGGCAAATGGAACTTAAATTTACAAAAAAAAAAAAAAAAAAAAGCTCCTGGAGGTAAGCAGACCAGGAATTGGGCAAGTGATCCGACAAATTCCCCCTTCTTCCCTGGCCTTCCCAGGGACCGGACACACCCAAAGCTTCCAGAGATTTTTTTTTTTTAAGACAAGGCACAGAAATTTGAACAATAGTTTCCTGATCTTCTTCATTTGCTCTTTCCTCTTTACCTCATTTTCACTGGCCTAAGACAAGACGGAGGAACCCTTTGGGGAACCCAGCAGTCCCAGAGCTGGCGGCCTTCTGCGTCCCTGCCTGAAATACAGCCAGGCCGTCTCCTCAGCCTGGGCCACATGTGCCATTTGTCCTTCTGTGAGCCATAAGGACGGCAAACGACACAAGGTCAGCACCAAATGGTTCTAGGGGATAGTGTGACAAGGGAAAGCCCCTGCGAGCCAGCGCCCAGCACCGGCTGGCTGCCTGCTGACAGAGTTGAAATGGGGTGTAATAAAGGGGAGACGCACTGTAAATTATGGAGCGTCATGCTCATTATTAAAGGGGCCTCTAGCCAGAACATGAGAGACTCCTACCTCTGGGAAACGAACTAGGGGTGGTGGAAGGGGAGGTGGGCGGGGGGTGGGGGTGACTGGGTGGCGGGCACTGAGGGGGGCCCTTGACGGGATGAGCACTGGGTGTTGTTCTGTATGTTGGCAAATTGAACACCAATAAAAAATAAATTTATCGAAAAAGGGGGCCTCTAGCATCGCAAATTTGGACTGAATTGCAATACCAGGAAATGCTCATGGCAGGCTAGAAAGGGACAGGCTGTCCCCAAGCACAGAAGGATCCCTCTTTCTGCAAAATAATCTGAAAAGTCCTTCCCTGCTTTATTGTGGTTCCTTTTAAAACGTATATTTAAGCCTCCTCTGAATGGGTTCCTAGGCCCTAATGAGGGGAGCACAGCTTCCTCTTTCTTGTGCCTTCCCTCCGTGGGGGTTTGCTGGGGGGGGGGTGGCTCCAGTGCTGCTCCCGCATAAGCTCTCACCTCTGGTCTCCTCCAAGCTGCGCACCTGTTCCAATGGCCTCAGGGAGCCAAGCCCACTTCTTGGGGCACGAGGTGGCGAAGCAGCAGTGTCACCTTCCTTCTGCACAGCCAGGGAGGCACAGACACCGTGAAAACCGAACTCATTGCAGAGAAAGAGCAAATGAGAAGTAGGCAGGAGGCCCAGGACTTGGGGGCACGGAGAGAGGAGGGAGTCGCTACAGAGTAGATCTGCAAGGCCCCGGGTTAGGGGGAGGCCAGGGTGGCTGAGTGGTGCCACACGAGGGTCAGATCTCGTCTTTATTTCACGTCTTCATGTTTTGTTCATCATCGCATTTTATTTTGCACGAACTTTGAATTTTTAATGATACTGAATTCACTTTTATGGTAATTACTGGGTGTCTTGGTGCGCAACCTCCACGCCTCCTCCCCCCACGCACCCCCCCACACACACCCCGCACCGCCGCTGCCTTCAATTTGGCGCCTAAGGTGGGTCCGTCGATTTGCCCTCGGCCCGGGCCCGTGACCGGAGGGAGGGAGGGGCGGGGGGGGGCCCTCATTTTGCAAGTGGAAAAGCGGTCGGCGGCGCGGGCGGGGCCGCGGGCGGGAGCAGGAGGCGCAAGAGACGCTGCCTGGGAGCCCACGCCGCGGCCCCGGGGGTTGTGGCAGCCCGGTTCCCGCGGAAAGCCGACCGGCGCCGGGCTGCCGGGCTCCCGCCGCCCCGGAACCCCCCAAGCTCTCTCCCGACCGCCGAGATGCGAATGCTCCCCGGTGGGGACGTCGAGTCCGGGACTCGCGCGGCGCCGCCTTTAGCAAAGGGCCGCGCCCCGAGACGCCTGCGCCCCCCCCCCACGCCGCGACCTCCCCCCACGCCCCCCCACGACCTCCCCCCGATGCCCGCCCCGTGCCCGCGCAAGGACGGGAGGACGGGTGCAGCGCAGGTGGCCGCGTGCGGAGCGCTTCCCCCCTTACAGCGCTCCCCCCGCCCCGCCGCGGCCCCGGGGCTCCCGAGTACCCGAGTGACCGTCCCAAGGCCCGAGGACGAGCCTCCGCCCAGGAGACCGACGCCCGAGCGGTCGGAGGCGCTGACCCGCCGCACCGCTCGGGCAGCGGCAGATCGGCCGGTAGGGCTCCAGCCTTCCGCGTCTTTCCGCGACAAGTCACCAAGCAAACGAAACACGTGTCACCGTGCGGAGCGGGAGTGCCCCTAACCAGCGGCCCGCAGCGGGAGCTCGGCCGCGGGACGCGAGCCGCGTTTCGACCCCGCGGGGCTCTGGCCGCAGGTAAGCGCGGCCCCGGCCGCCCCGGCCACCCCGGCCACCCCGGCCACCCCGGCCTGGGGCGCTGGCTTCGCCGCTCGCGCCCAGCCCCTTCGAAGGCCTCACATTCCCCGGAAGCTCTCGCAAAAGCCCAAGCAATTAAAATGGGCTGTTCAGGCGAGGCTGGCACGCGGGATGGAAGCCCAGACCCCGGGAAAGCGGCTGGGAACCCGCGTTCACGCCAAGCGGTGCTTTCAGTGCCTTAAAGAACGCCGGCAGCCACCACGGGTTGCAGATGAGCCGCCTCCTCAAACCTCTTTTAAAGTCTCATGTCACTTTAGAGTCCTGCCTTCAGATCTCTCCTTACTCTTTTTTTTTTTGATTTTTATTTATTTATGATAGTGACAGAGAGAGAGAGAGAGAGAAAGAGACAGAGAGAGGCAGAGGGAGAAGCAGGCTCCATGCAGGGAGCCCGACGTGGGACTCGATCCCGAGTCTCCAGGATCGCGCCCTGGGCCAAAGGCAGGCGCCAAACCGCTGCGCCACCCAGGGATCCCCAGATCTCTCCTTACTCTTAAGGCTTCAGCCAATGAGGGATGGACAAAGTCCCTAACTACAAGAAATGCCGGATTTACCGATAAAAACACCCCGTTAAAATCTCAGAAAAACAATACAAGTATGTCCTATGCAATACTGGGAACAAACTTTTAGGGTGAAAATTATTGGTTGCTTAACTGAAATTCAAATTTAACCAGGTGTTCTGTTTTTTTTTTTTTTCTGGTAATTCTAAGAACAACGCATACACTGCTTCAATTCTTTTCTTTATAGTCAATCTAGCAAACAAGACACAAGGCTATATTGAGAGGTAGGCAAAATATCATAGGCATGCTCGGTCATTTGTACACATGCAAAAAAAAGCCACATTGAAATGGATTATAAAAGCAGTAAAAAGTTTATTTATGTTAACTGAGGGGACTGCCCATCTGATTGTTAAGACTATTATGGGTATTGATCCAGGGACCTCGGCAGCTCAGGTGGCTCAGCAGTTTAGCGCCACCTGCAGCCCAGGCTCTGATCCCGGGTCCTGGGATCAAGTCCCACGTTGGTCTCCCTGCATGGGGCCTACTTCTCCCTCTGCCTGTGTCTCTGCCTCTCTCTCTCTCTCTCTCTCTCTCTCTCTCTATGTCTTTCATGAATAAATAAAATCTTTAAAAAAAAATCCAGGGACCTACAAATGACTCCCCGGGGAATAAATCAGGCCTATTGCCATTCTTTGTATGGTCTTTGAGCTAAGAATGGTTTTCACATTTTTAAATGGTCAAAAAATCAAAAGAAGAGTGTTTGGTGGTAAGTCAAAGTCACATGAAAAAATGAATAAATAAATAAATAAATAAATAAATAAATAAATAAATAAAGTTACATGGATTTCCAGACTCAGCATCCATCATTAAAATTTATTCTAACCCAGCCATGCCTACTCATTGTCTTATTGTCTCAGTCTGTTTGCAGGCTTCTAGCCGGCAAAGGCAAAGTTGAGTCCATGCAACAGAAATGGCTCAACCCACAAAGCCAGAAATATTTACTCTCCGGCCCTCTACAGAAGCACTTTGTCGACTCCTGATATGGATGAAACCATTATCTGTAAAGTGGTGCCATAAATAATCGTTAAGTCTGTTAGCTGTGGGGGGGAGGGGCAAGATGGCGGAAGAGCAGGGTCCCCAAATCACCTGTCCCCACCAAATTACCTAGATAACCTTCAAACCATCCTGAACATCTACGAATTCGGCCTGAGATGTAAAGAGAGACCAGCTGGAACGCTACAGTGAGAAGAGTCCGCGCTTCTATCAAGGTAGGAAGACGGGAAAAAGAAATAAAGAAACAAAAGGCCTCCAAGGGGGAGGGGCCCTGCGAGGAGCCGGGCTGAGGCCGGGGCGAGTGTCCCCAGGACAGGAGAGCCCCGTCCCGGAGGAGCAGGAGCTGCACCAACCTTCCCCGGCGGGCGGAAAGGGGCTCGCAGGGAGTTGGAGCAGGACCCAGGAGAGCGGGGATGCCCTCGGGCTCCCGGGGACACTAACAGACACCTGCGCCCCGGGGGAGTGCGCCGAGCTCCCTAAGGGCTGCAGCGCGCACAGCGGGACCGACCGGAGCAGCTCGCAGGGGCTCGGGAGCGGCTCCAGGGAGGGAGCTGCGGGGCGGGAGCGCGAATCCCACAGCGCAGGCCCCGGAGCACAGGGCGCCGGGACACAGCCCAGGATCCGGCCTCCCCCGGGACAGGCAGAGGCCGGGAGGGCCCAGGACAGCAAGGACGCTCCTGCCCCGAGCTGAGCAGATCAGCGGCCCCGCCCCGGAGCCTCCAGGCCCTGCAGACTGAGAACCAAGAGCCCCGAGCCCCGTAGTTCCTGCAGAGGCTGAATCCAGGCTTCCAGAGTTGCCATAGCAACTGCGACTGTTCCTCCTGGGGCCCCACAGGGTAAACAACCCCCGCTGAGCCCGGCAGCAGGCAGGGGCAGAGCAGCTCCCCCAAGTGCTAACACCTGAAAATCAGCGCAACAGGCCCCTCCCCCAGAAGACCAGCTAGAGGGACCAGTGATACTTCCCCGTGTTCCAATACAACTTGTTTTTGGCCACTCTGCACTGAGCAAAATGACTAGAAGGAAAACCTCACTTCAAAAGAAAGAATCAGAAACAGCCCTCTCTCCCGCAGAGTTACAAAATCTGGATTACACTTCAATGTCAGAAAGCCAATTCAGAAGCACTATTCTACAGCTACTGGTGGCTCTAGAAAAAAGCATTAAGGCCTCACAAGACTTCATGACTGCAGAATTTAGATCCAATCAGGCGGAAATTAAAAATCAATTGAATGAGATGCAATCCAAACTAGAAGTCCTAACGACGAGGGTTAACGAGGTGGAAGAACGAGTGAGTGACATAGAAGACAAGTTAATGGCAAAGAGGGAAACTGAGGAAAAAAGAGACAATCAATTAAGGGACCATGAAGACAGATTAAGGCAAATAAATGACAGTCTGAGGAAGAAAAACCTACGTTTAATTGGGGTTCCCGAGGGCGCCGAAAGGGCCAGAGGGCCAGAATATGTATTTGAACAAATCCTAGCTGAAAACTTTCCCAATCTGGGAAGGGAAACAGGCATTCAGATCCAGGAAATAGAGAGATCCCCCCCTAAAATCAATAAAAACCATTCAACACCTCGACATCTAATAGTGAAGCTTGCAAATTCCAAAGATAAAGAGAAGATCCTTAAAGCAGCAAGAGACAAGAAGTCCCTGACTTTCATGGGGAGGAATATTAGGGTAACAGCAGACCTCTCCACAGAGACCTGGCAGGCCAGAAAGGGCTGGCAGGATATATTCAGGGTCCTAAATGAGAAGAACATGCAACCAAGAATACTTTATCCAGCAAGGCTCTCATTCAAAATGGAAGGAGAGATAAAGAGCTTCCGAGACAGGCAGGAACTGAAAGAATATGTGACCTCCAAACCAGCTCTGCAAGAAATTTTAAGGGGGACTCTTAAAACTCCCCTTTAAGAAGAAGTTCAAGTAACTCTGAACGTGAATGGGCTTAATGACCCCATCAAAAGGCGCAGAGTTTCAGACTGGATAAAAAAACAGGACCCATCTATTTGCTGTCTACAAGAGACTCATTTTAGACAGAAGGACACCTACAACCTGAAAATAAAAGGTTGGAGAACCATTTACCATTCAAATGGTTCTCAAAATATACCCTAAAAACTACAGAACACTTCTGAAAGAAATTGAGGAAGACACAAAGAGATGGAAAAATATTCCATGCTCATGGATTGGCAGAATTAATATTGTGAAAATGTCAATGTTACCCAGGGCAATTTACACGTATAATGCAATCCCTATCAAAATACCATGGACTTTCTTCAGAGACTTAGAACAAATTATTTTAAGATTTGTGTGGAATCAGAAAAGACCCCAAACAGCCAGGGGAATTTTAAAAAAAGAAAACCATATCTGGGGGCATCACAATGCCAGATTTCAGGTTGTACTACAAAGCTGTGTTCATCAAGACAGTGTGGTACTGGCACAAAATCAGACATATAGATCAATGGAACAGAACAGAGAACCCAGAAGTGGACCCTGAACTTTATGCTCAACTAATATACGATAAAGGAGGAAAGACGATCCACTACAAGAAAGACAGTGTCTTCAATAAATGGTGCTGGGAAAATTGGACATCCACATGCAGAAGAATGAAACTGGACCACTCTCTTGCACCATACACAAAGATAAACTCAAAATAGATGAAAGATCTAAATGTGAGACAAGATTCCATCAAAATCCCAGAGAAGAACTCAGGCAACACCCTTTTTGAACTTGGCCACAGTAACCGGAGAAGGACAAACAGTGTATGTTCTCATTCATTTGGGGAATATGAATAATAGCGAAAGGGAATATAAGGGAAGGGAGAAGAAATGTGTGAGAAATATCAGAAAGGGAGACAGAACATAAAGACTTCTAACTCTGGGAAATGAACTAGGGGTGGTGGAGGGGGAGGAGGGTGGGGGGTGGGGGTGAATGGGTGACGGGCACTGAGGGGTACACTTGATGGGATGAGCACTGGGTGTTATTCTGTATGTTGGTAAATTGAACACCAATAAAAATTAATTTATAAAAAAAAAAAAAAAAAAAAAAAAAAAAGTCTGTTAGCTGTAACTCGGAGTGGGCTAAACACTTCCTTATTGGCTGAAATTGTTTGCTTAGCTGTCCTTTTTCTTATAGTCAAAAGGATCATGTTTTCACAGATACGAGATTTCGGTGAACTGGAAGCCAGTGGCGTTTGAATGAAATTTATTTTCACAATACGGGCTGTCTCTGCTCATCACAATTCTAATCCACCCTTTGTGGTTGCTGCACTGCCTCACCGCCCCACGACTGCTGGCTGCGTGGATCCCCGGCCGGAACAGTATTTTACCAAGTGGCTCGCCTGCCATCTACTGGGGAGAGACATAAAGACATAAGTGACTCACTATATTTATTCAGACAAACTGACTAGCCAGGTATAGGCTGTGGGCCTATCCTGGGCAAAAAAAATTAATTCGTTAATGGATTAAAGTAAAATAAAAATTAAAAAATAAGCTGTAGGACCTTGAATAGTGATGATCAGAGTAATCCCTTACATTTGTTTTCTTTTTCTAATAGAAGAGAAATCTTTTTGCCACAACAAGGTGAAGACCTACCCAGGGAAACTGGGCAATAAAAAAAAATAATAATAATCAGTAGGGAGGAAGAAAAATTATTTGTTTCCATATGACATGATCTGCTACAGGGGCAACCTCTAT